AGTGTGGGCTCCCCCACCCGGGACCGGGACCGGGACCGGGACCGGCGTGAGCAGGCACAAACCCGCTGGGCCTGGCAGAGGTGAAGCCTGCAGGCGGGTTGGTGCCAGGCCCTCCCTGCCACCGTGGCCTGTAGAGCAAGGCACAGGGAAAACATGTCGGTGCCCAGCCGCCACGATGATGCCGGAGGGATGCAATGAGGCTGGAGCAGGCTGAAGGGCAGAGACCGTGCCAGGGCAGGGAGGCTGCAGGAGATTCCTGCCCGGGGACGGAGATCAGGCGGCCCGGGGAGGGGAGAGGTGAAGTGAGGGACAAAAAAGGCCTGATGGACAAAGAGATCTGAGTCCTGCAGAGTCTGTCTGCTGGAGATACAAACAGCGAATATATATATATATGCAGACATAAAGTGGAGTATGCATCTGAGATATAATGGAGTTTATAACGCAGGACTAAGGCCTTGCCACTGAGGCAAAATCAATCGTAAATAGAAATAATAGTAATGCCTATTTCTTACCCTGTTCTCGCTTACAGAGCACCTTCTGGTAGATCTCTGCTGCACTCAGTTGCCTCCTGTGCCATCCTAGTCAAACTACAGCAAGTCAAGGGCATAGCTGAGAACAAAACGGGGCTTTGTTTGCAAGATTCGTGAGATGCCATTCGGTTCAACCCGCCTACAAAATCCTGCGTTTGCCGACACCCGCGGAAAACCGCTGCCTACCAAACGGACACAGATAACACCCAGGGCTGCACAGCAGTAGGAAGGGAGCAGAGGCCCAGCAACAGCTTTGTGATTGGTTTGCGGGAAACCGGCCTGCCTTTGCCTGACACACGGAGCTTTTACAGGAGGGGAATGCTCTGGGGAGCTTCTCGGCCTCTGCTGACTTGCGTTTGTATTAAAACTCAGCATTGCAATAGTGGTAATAACCTCAAATTATTAACAATTATAAGAAACGCCCGGGTTGTTTAGCTGGGGAAAAAAAATCCACGAAAGTATTTTGGTTTCTTCTTGATTTAGAATCGTGCTCAGTGGCTTATGTTGTGTGCATTTGGAGTTGTATAAACATAAAAGATTGGAATAGCCTTTCAGATTTAGGTCTTTCCTCATCTGAAAGTGAATACTAATGCTAAGTTCATTCTTTTAGTTACAGAGCGAGCACTCGGGACTGGTCTGAAAATACTCTAAAAGGCACATGGCAACATATGTCATGACAAGATGGAGTTTTGTAACGGGAGGAAATGAAGATGATACAGTGCCGTTCTTCATCTAATTAGGGTAGGCAGCCAACCACTGAGCATCCGAGTGAGTTTGTACCCGATGTCTGAATCAAATGGTGGACCAGCACACCCCTAAAGGTTCAGATCTGTGTTATACTCAGGTTGCAAGGCAGATGTTAGGCCCTAATGCAACAGAGTCCTTAAACACGTCTGGCTGGTTTGCAGGAGAAAAGAGTGCTTTCCCGAGCTGGGAGGGACTTTCTGTGAACAAAGCCACTCCGTGTTTCTCTGACACTGTCTGTACGGGTACCCCTTGCTACGATTTCAAGGCAAGCTTGGTGAATAGTAGGATGTTGGTCCTAACAGACTGCTGTCCCTAATGCGGGCTCGTTACCCGGTGCGCAACGCCAATTTCCACACCGAGGGGAGGTATTTCCATTTCTTTTATCCTAGTTTGCGCAAAGTAGGGAGCTAGGTGGTAGCCCACAGAAGACTAGCTCTCTGATTATCAAAACTTCACACTATTTATACTCTATTACCTATTGGTTAAATGATTCTCTCGCTTCTTATGCTAATTAGTCTGCACGCTCAGTCTTTCTCTTTTGGGTCGGAGGGTTTCTTGAGTTGGTGGGCTGTGAGTCGGTGGTCGTGATCTCCCCTTGTCAGAATTAACTCTCCTTCACCTTTAGTTTCACGCTTCAGCTGTTGCAGCCAAATTCCCGTGGTTTCGCTGATAAAACAAGTTGTCTCCTAACAGCCTGGTTTATACCAGCCAGGATGCCCTGTTTGTCCAGGATGTTTCTGATTTATCTCCCTTGGGATTAGATGCCATGCCAAGTATTTACTTCGAACCTCCCCAACCTTGAATAGTTAACAAAGCGCTGGACAAAATAATTGCAACGTTAATCAATGACAGCCTTCTGCAAACTTCCATCAAGACCATGACCTATTATACTGACAAATACTGATTTCCTGTGCCAAAAGGTCTGTTACTTCGTGCCTGTTACTACAAACTCTCTGGGGCAGGAACCGTCTCTTTCTTGTATTCATGTGCAGGGTGTGTTCCAGCAGTACAGCTGCCCAGAGAGATCCTGTCCAGGGAGCTGTTTACAACGGGGATCTTCACACTTACCGGTGCTGTAGCCAAACGTTTGGCTCACAGTAACAACTAGAAGTAATGCGGGTAAATAGGACGTGGAGCATTTTAACCGCTGTGGCAGGAAATGTCATTTTACCGCTGTCCCTAGTCAGCTCTCCCCACCAGAGAGAGTTGGATACGCCGTTGATAGCTGAACAGTGCAGATAAAGCAGCTGGTAACTGAACTGCGTAGATAAAAGCTGCTTCAAGCTCTACGTGGGCTTTGGTCTCTCTGTGCCATACCTTTCAGCCCTCCCGGCTCTGAAGAGTTTACCGGGCGAGACAGAACCGTGTGAGCCGGGGCCAACCCGAGGAGATCAAAGCGGGGAGCTTGTTTCCCAAGAGCTCCTCCCAACCTGCTCCGAGCGAAGCCTGGTCACGCTGCCAAGGGGCTGCTCGCAAGGCTCCAGCTGGAGCGGGACAGCAGGGGTGAGCGGACGCCGCAGGGCCAGCTCAGAGCCAAAGAACAGCTGCTGCAGTATCGCGGCCAGTGGGTGCAGCCACCTGCGGTGCCCCGGTTTTTGTGCCTTCCCCTTTGCCTCTGGCTCTGGGACTGTGGTGCAGAGCCCCTGAGCCAGCTCTGTGCCGACTGCCGGTTTGCAGGTAGCCAGCTCTGCTAGGCTCTGGGGTGGAGAGGTGTCAGGCAGGGTTAGCAGGCCAGCATCCCCCTGCATTTCAGGGTTTGGTGCTTCCTTCCCCCTTTTGGGCTGTTCTGCGTCTGCAGGGCCTTAGTGTGGCAATGAAATACCCAGAGGGACGTGAGAATCGTGTGTGTTTGCATAGTCCTGAGGAGAACCAAGTGACAAAAAAAAAAAAAGCCATTTTGTGCCCCTGGGAAACCGCCACCGTGGGCCTTTCCGGGCAGCGCGTTCACGGTGCAGTTTTGCTGTAGTTTAATCCTGGATAAAATCCATCATGAGAAGGGGGGGAAAAAAAAGCGAGACGGGCTCGCCTGGAGATGCCGGGGATTGAACCCGGG